AAATAAAAGCAAAGTAAATAGCAAAGGAAATAACTAAGTATTGGGAGATTAATATGATGAAGATAGACTCGGGGGGCATAGGTTTCACTAGTAGCTTCTCTCGAGAGCATAAGTATTCTACGGTGGGTGAACAAATTACTGTTGAGCAATTGACAGAATTGAGCATAGTTATGAGAATATCTAGGTATGATCATGTATATAGGCATCACGTCCGAGACAAGTAGACCGACTCCTGCCTGCATCTACTACTATTACTCCACTCATCGACCGCTATCCAGCATGCATCTAGAGTATTAAGTTAATGAAAACAGAGTAACGCCTTAAGCAAGATGACATGATGTAGAGGGATAAACTCATGCAATATGATGAAAACCCCATATTGTTATCCTCGATGGCAACAATACCATACGTGCCTTGCTGCCCCTACTGTCACTGGGAAAGGACACCGCAAGATTGAACCCAAAGCTAAGCACTTCTCCCATTGCAAGAAAGATCAATCTAGTAGGCCAAACCAAACCGATAATTCGAAGAGACTTGCAAAGATAACCAATCATACATAAAAGAATTCAGAGAAGATTCAAATATTGTTCATAGATAGACTTGATCATAAACCCACAATTCATCGGTCTCAACAAACACACCACAAAAAGAAGATTACACCGAATAGATCTCCACAAGACAGGGGGAGAACTTTTTATTGAGATCCAAAAAGAGAGAAGAAGGCATCTAGCTACTAACTATGGACCCGTAGGTCTGAGGTGAACTACTCACACTTCATCGGAGGGGCTATGGTGTTGATGTAGAGGCCCTCCGTGATCGATGCCCCCTTCGGCGAAGCTCCGGAACAGGCCCCAAGATGGGATCTCGTGGATACAGAAAGTTGCGGCGGTGGAATTAGGGTTTTGGCTCCGTATCTGATCGTCTGGGGGTACGTAGGTATATATAGGAGGAAAGAGTATGTCGGTGGAGCAACAGGGGGCCCACGAGGGTGGAGGGTGCGCCTGGGGGGGGGGGTAGGCGCACCCCCTACCTCGTGGCCTCCTCTTTTGTGTCTTGGCGTAGGGTCCAAGTCTCCTGGGTCTTGTTCGTTGAGAAAATCACGTTCCTGAAGGTTTTATTCCGTTTGGACTCCGTTTGATATTCCTTTTCTTCGAAACCTAAAACAGGCAAAAAAACAGCAATTCTGGGCTGGGCCTCTGGTTAATAGGTTAGTCTCAAAAATAATATAAAAGTGGATAATAATGCCTAATAATGTCAAAAGCAGTAGATAATATAGCATGGAGCAACCAAAAATTATAGATACGTTGGAGACGTATCAGAAGCCACTAGTGAAACCTATGGCCCCGGGGTCTATTCTCCATCATACAAGTTTCCCATCTACTTTATTTTGCAATCTTTACTTTCAATCTATATCATAAAAATACAAAAATATTTATCTTATTATTATTATCTCTATCAGATCTCACTCTTGTAAGTGGTCGTGAAGGGATTGACAACCCCTTTATCGCGTTGGTTGATAGGTTCTTATTTGTGTGTGTAGGTACGAGGTGACTCGCATGTGGTCTCCTACTGGATTTATACCTTGGTTCTCTAAAACTGAGGAAAATACTTACGCTGCTTTACTGCATCACCATTTCCTCTTCAAGGAAAAACCAACGCAGTGCTCAAGAGGTAGCACCGGACGCTCGACGAGGTTCTCGCGCACCTCGAGCGTGGCAACAATCCGCCGCTCGCATACCCTCGGGGACCGGCCGTCGCTCTGGTGCCCCGCTGCGGCGCCGGGCAATGGATGCTAAGGAGGTTTGCCTCCGGTTCGTCGTCCTCGTCCCGTTCCTCCTCCCACTCCTCCGGCTCTCCGACGGTGTTCGGCGTCAAGGCCGAGCCCGTAGCGGAGACCCCGCTCGGCCGGCGCACCCGCTCGACCGGCATCGTCATCAACAAAGGCGGCGGCCGCGCCTCGTCATCGGCTCCTCCCCGACTCGTCAAGCCGAAGACGGAGCTAGGGCTCCCCGCCATGAAGACGGAGCTCGGGCTCACCAACGGCGTCAAGGAGGAGGCGCTCGACGACGAAGCGGCCCTCAAATGGGCGCGCAACGACTGGGTGCAGACGGAGAGGGGGCGCCAGTGCGCCGTCCTCGCGTGGTTCGAAGCTCGTCGCCGTGGGACGAGGAAGGCATCGTCGTCCTTGACGACAGCGACGACGACGACGCGCCGCCACCGCCTGTCCGTCATGGAGACGCGGGACAGGGGTCCAGCATTGGCGGCCGCGCCATCAAGAAGGAGAAGGCCGCCGACGACGAGGAGGACGGCGGTGACGTCGGCGACTTCGCCGCGCTGATCGAGTTCTTCACCTCATAGATTAGTTTTTTTAAATAATTTATGTAAAACGCCGAACATGTTTAATATGAATATCAAGTTTGCCGAATTTTAGCCAAACTTTACTGAACTTCATCGAATTTAGCTTTTTTTTAATAAAAAAATACGTCCGGGACGACCTTGTGGCGAGCGGCTGGGAACCCGCTCGCCTCCGCGCCGATTTAAGCGCCGGCTCGCCCCGAGGGCGCGTAAAATCGCCGCCTGGGGTGCCAACGGCTGGAGATGCTCTAAGCCAGCAAGAGCCAAAGCTGCAGGTTGGAGTACCAATCATCGGTTAGTGTCAGCCACCAACCTAGCAACGTGGAAAGCACTGGCATGCATGCACGAACGCCGGCCAGGCTAAAGAAACCTACCGCGGCGCTCCGATCCGGCGTCCGGACCTCGAGAAACGATTGATCCTACTGGAAATCGATTGATCCCGGAGAAACGACCGCGCGATCGGACGGCGGCCGGTACACGTCCGGTCGCCGCAGACCGCACCACCTACCATTAGCGCCCGCCTTTCGACCTCAGACCGCAGCTACGTGCCACGTACTGGCTACGTCTACTGTGCCAATTAATTCTTTCAGACCACGACACGGAAATGCATACCGACATCTAGAAACCCAAGAAATTCTCATTCTGCTCCAGGTCTCCAGTGCACTCCTTGACCTGCAGGAGGAGCACAGTAGTCTGGCTAGCTAGCTGTAAACACAGGCGAATTCGAGGACCCTCGGATCCATGTACGCTGCGCTATATATGGCCGTCCGCACTGCATGCCTCCGGAGCACGTACCGTTCGTTCGCCGTGGCAGCGACATCGACATGAGCAAGAGGCGCGGGGCGACGGAGAGCGCCGGGAACGACCCGGCCGGCGCGCCGGTGCGCCTCCCGGGGTCGCCGCGGCGCGGCGCGAGCCGGGGCGGCGTGTTCGAGTGCAGGACGTGCGGCAGGCGGTTCCCGACGTACCAGGCGCTGGGCGGGCACCGGGCCAGCCACGGGCGGCATCTTCCCAGCGCCAGCGGGCTGCGCGACGGCGACGCCCTCGGGCTCCGGCTGCTGGAGCCACGCGGTGGAGAGGCGAGGCCGAGGACGCACGGGTGCCCCGTCTGCGGCGTGGAGTTCGCTGTCGGGCAGGCGCTCGGCGGGCACATGAAGCGGCACCGTGACATGGCCGACGCCGACGCCGACGCGAACGCGCACGGCACCATGGCGGCAACGTCCGTGAAGGATGACGGCGCTGGAGCCGGCTGCACGGCCGAGATCTGCCTGGACTTGAACCTGGCGCAGGCGGAGAACTGCGCAAAGTGCAGGAATGCTAGGGCCAGCGGCGAAGCCCAGAGACCGCTACTAGGGTGGAATCCGTGAATGTGTCACATAATACCATGGCAAAAAAAAAAGGATTGATGTTTCAACAAATTCTGAATTTTATTTTGTGAATGTTCCGTGACATATGTCTACTATACCCAAATATTTCAGTTCCAAATCCAAATGCCTAAAAATTCCAAATCATGTACTCACTCTGTTTCGAATTACTTGTCGCAGGTATGGATGTATCTAGATATATTTAGTTCTAGTTATATCCATTTCTGCGACGAGTAATTTGGAACGGAGGTAGTACATCTCTCACCCGTTACTGTTCTGCTCTCTTTGTCGAACCGTGCTTTTTATTAGTGTTGCTATTTCTCGCTTGTTTGAATTGCAATTTTAGTACTCCCTCTGTTCATTTTTACAAGGCTTTGTAGATGTTTTAGACAGTGTACAAAACAACATAATTTCACTTGTCTGAAATGACTTATAAAAGTAAACGGAGGAAGTACTCATTTTAAGTTGCAGAACAGAAAAATATACCACTGCGACTAATACATAGTACTCCCTCCATTAGAACTAACTGTCGTTCAAATGAGTGAATCTACACACTTCGGAAGCAACGGTCGTTCAAATGAGTGAATCTGCACACTGAAACTTGTCTAGATACACGCATTTCAGTGACAGTTAAATCCGAAAGGAGGTACGAGATAACACAGTTGATTGTTGATCAGAAGGCTACAGGAATTGAAATTTATTAAAATTCCAGCCAACTACTCCCTCCGTTCCCAAATATAAGTCCTTTTAGAGATTTCAACAAATAACTAAATACGGAGCAAAATGAGTGAATCTGCACTCTAAAATATGTCTATATACATCCGTATGTTGTAGTCCATTTGAAATCTCTAAAAAGACTTATATTTAGGAACAGAGGGAGCAGTAAAAAGGTAAGAGGTCTCATTCTCACGTCAACTACTTGCACACATGCAAGAACAGCATAAGAGCTCACACCACAGCATCACAACAAGTTATTCCATGCATATTGATTGCTCGGAAAGAAACAGCAGCAAGCCAACAGCATGGATTTGAAATCATTACACACTGTAGCGAGAGGTTCAACGGACTGAAATCCAGCGTACAATAGCTCCCAGCAATGGCAACAGCTACGTCAAAGGCAAGGGTAGTTGCTTCAAAGAATGGGAAGCGAATATAAGTACAACCAGATCTGTATCATAAGTCATAATTTTCTTCTTGATTGACATTCTTCCTATAACAGACAAGCAGCAGGAACCGAATGATGTCAAATAAACAATGATCACGGACACACTGACTCGTCCCTTAAGAGCCACAGCAGGCAGACCCCGAAGCTGCCGGGGCGTCGCCGCCTTCTGCCTTGTTAATCTTGATGGTCTTGTCCTGCAAAGTGGAGAACAAATCCCTCAGGGCGCCAAACAAGATGGTGGAGACCCGGACGTAAGATGTAATTGAGTAGAGTTATCATCTGTACCTCAGGCTTGGAATCGGTCTCAGCAAGCCTCTGCTTAATGTCGCGGGCAATGGAGAAGAAAACTTGCTCCACGTTGAGGTTTGTCTTGGCACTCTGAAAGACAGCACACAATGAAATTAGAAAGACTACTCTCCACTGGAACGATCAACCAATTTGACAAGCAACATACAGTTTCAAAGAACTTGATGCCGTATTCATCAGCCAAAGCTTGCCCCTTCGCAGTAGGTACAGCCTGGAGAAACAATTGAAAATAAACCATTTAACTAGTGATTTCGAACCTATAATATAAAGTAAGGCCTAGTCAAATATTATAGAATACTACTACAAGAACAAAAAGAGGGGGAGGGGATTCGTGGACACATACCCTTTTACTCTCATCCATATCAGCCTTGTTGCCAATCAAAATTTTGTTGACATTGTCAGAGGCATGCTGCTCGATGTTCCGGATCCAGTTCCTTATGTCTGTGTATCCAGTGAACCAAAGGTCAATAAAGGCAAAAGACATCAAAATGGAAGCATTAGGGGGTGTACACAAGTAAGAAGACGGTACTGTTGAAAGATGACTCATCGGTGACATCATAAACAAGCAGGATACCCATGGCTCCACGGTAATACGCTGAAATATAATAAAGAAATGAAGTTTAGTTGGTCAGAAACATTACGCATATACAGCATTTCCTCTTAGTAATTCTATCACAATAACTTCACAGCAAACAGTATAGCAGATTGGAACAATCATTATTCATACCAGTGGTAATAGTCCGGAAACGTTCTTGACCAGCCGTGTCCCATATTTGTAGCTTAATACGTTTCTGATCCAGCTCTATTGTTCTGATCTTAAAGTCAATACTACACGAACAAATGATAAGAATTAGTGTAGGGCAACATAAGGAAGTGTCCTAGCTTCCACTTGAGCAGTAAACAATCCTCCCAACAACAAAAAGACCAACCCGATCGTGGTAATAAAGCTCGTAGTGAAGGAGCCATCAGAGAACCGCAGAAGGAGGCAACTCTTGCCAACACCTACACACGGAAAATTGGAGAAATAAGAGTCCTTGTCAGACAATAGTAAATATAAAGCTTCACTAGCAAACATGCCACTGGCTACAGAAAAAATAAGTACAGAATAAAAGAATTATTATTAGTTGCCCCTGATCATCCCCTCTGGGAAGCAAGAGACTCCCTCTATCTCTATCTCTATCAACTCTGGGCAACGCATTGCCGTTCAATCTATGGCGTCTACTAGCTAGTCACATAACAGCACATATAAGGCTGGTCACAATGGGGAGGAACTTAGGAGTAACATCACACACTCCAATACAACTTTGCTTATGTGTCACATATTTAATGAAGAGAGAAGTGCTTGTGGTAACTAGCTAAGTTACCGGAACATCACACACTCCAAGAAACAATGAGTCTATAACCTAATAAATACATTGTTGCATGACACTACATAGATGTTCCTACCCACTGTGGAGGTAGTAACATAGTCTAGGGAAGTGTGTAAGTTACTAGACTATGTTCTTGCCCATTGTGACCAGCCTAACACCAAAAGGAGGCATCTTTGACATGCTCCAAGGTAACTTATATTTCAAGCTACACATTCTTAACCTCTTTATCATACAGCAGGAGCAGCAAAAGAATGCTAAATGATTGTGTGGCCTGTTCTCTGTCCGGCCTTGTAAACTATACAAACAAGCACAGATGATAAAGTCAAGCCTGCCCCTCAATATCTCTCTTAAACAAGTCTTGATGCTTAATCTACCAAGCAAGGAGTGTGAAAGCACCATTCCATAAGCTGGACCGTTTCCAATGCTCCTCCAACCACAAGTTCCCAATTGAATGTCCATCCATAAAATTGAATGAAAAATAGCTGCAACACGCAACCTATCCGCTCTCCTAGCTCGAAATTCTCCCGATTTTGCATCAGAAACTAATGCATGCTAGGACATAGCGAGCACCTCATCCTAAAGCCAGCAACGGATGCTTGTACGCACAATAATAGCATGCTCCGAACAGGAAGCAGGCAGAGGCTATTGAGGAAACATTCCCCTCGCCCTGGCGCTACAAATGGAAGAGGAAGCACACGAATTCGTCCGCAGGCAACGTAAATGACGAATCCCTGCGAGATCCGCTTGGTCCACGCGGCCAATCGAACCGTGATCCAACACGAGCGCGCGCGCAGTAGCCGCGCGGCGGAAGGTGAGAGAGGGGGGAGAGATCTAGCGGGGGGACACGAACCGCTGTCCCCGATGAGGAGGAGCTTGATGAGGTAGTCGTAGTCGGCCCGGGCCCTCGCCGGCGGCGCAGCCATGTCGCGCGCACCCGCCTCCTCCTCCTCCTCCTACCCCTCGATCGGCGCTGGTGCTGATCCCCCGACCTGCGAGCCAAAATGAGCGTCAGGCGCGAGGAATAATGGCTGGCTGGCGGGGCCTCGACGGCGCGCGAGGCGGGCCGGAGGGCGGCGCGGGGGGGCGGGATCGGCGCGCACCGGCAGACGAGGGGGCGGGGATCGGGGCGCGGGCGGTGGCGGTGGCGGATCTGGGGGGAGGGGGCGGGGGCGAGGCGAGGAGGACGGCGAAATCGATTTTTTTGACGTGGGGGGTTAAATGGTGGCTGGTTTGATTCGTCGGCCTCCTCAGTTTTGTTTTTGTGCTTCCACGATTCGACGCTGCGTGGTGCGTCCGTCGGGTCGGGCCGCCTCGCTTGGATTCGAAGACAGTGCTTCTGCCCGCCCGCGCGGCCACCGACCGGTGACCCTATGCGCTGGGCGGGTCGCGCCGCGTGAAAGGGCCTTGGAGACGCTGACCTGTGGGGCAGGCGCATGCCTCTGCCTGCCAGGGGCCCGCGTGTCTGCCAGATCGGATGGAACTTTGTGTATACATACGTGTGGCGATCAAGTGTGCGTGTGTGTGAGCTTGCGTTGCTGCCTTCTGGTTCAAGAGGAGCGACAAAATGGTTGTGCCAAACTTTCCAAATTCTGACTTGAAATGCTACCGCGAGATGTGTGAAATTTCCACAAGAAAACTACCTTCAAACCAAGCACAAGGCGAGAACCAACATGTAAGGGCATCTCCAGCCGCGTCCTCAGGAAGACCTCTCCAGGCGTTTTTTTTTGCACCGGCGCCGAAAAATCGGCCCAGTCGCGCCCTCAGGAGCCTGATTTTCGCCGGCTTGGGCCAAAAACAGCGCCGGTGGACCCAGGCCGAACCCGGCGCGCTGGGGGGCGCCCGGGGGCGCCGGGGCGAACTGTTTTGGCGCGAAACAGCCGCGGGCCCGCCGCGTCAGCGACTCTACCCTCTTCTCGCCCCTTCGTCATCCTTATCGCCTCGTTTCCCGCGGCAAATCAATGCCAAAGCTGCCGCGCCGGTCAGCCTGCGCCATTGATGCCTCACGGGCGGCGCAGTGAAGACTGGATGACGCGCGTCCCTCGCCCTCCCTCGCCCGCCACGCGTACTCACGGCGGCTCACGCACGGGCGACGCCTCGGCCTATATAAGACGCGCCCCAGCGCACTCGGCGACTCGCACTCTCTCGCCGTCGTCGTTCCTCCCTCTCCTCTCTCTCGCCGTCTCCAGTTCATCACACCCATGCCCGAGCGCTTCCCAGGCGACGGCGCGGCGGCGAACGGCTTCGGCCGCCGCCATCTTCACAAGAACAAGGCTCGCCTCCTTTTCGAGGCCGAGTACCCGGTCCCGCCGGACATGCGGGTGCCGGGGCGTGGAGGATCAGCGCCGGCGGCGTGCCGGTGCCCCCGATACCCACCGGCGCGGCGCGGCGTGCGGAGATCGCACGCATCCGCTCGTCCCTGCCGCGTGCGGCGAGGGAGGGGCCACGGTACGTCCCCGACAGCCCGCTCTGAAGGAGATCGCCGCCCGCAAGCGTGGGCGCGAGGACGAGCACGGCGTCGTGGTCCTCGACAGCGACGACGACGACGACGCCCCCAGACCGTCCAACCCGCCGCGCCAACCGGGGGAGGGATGCAGCAGGGACGGCGGAGGCGTCGGCGGGGGCAACGACGACGACGGCGGCGGTGACTACACGCGGTTCTACAGCCTCCTCGGCATGTAGAACCGCGTGGGCGGGCGGCGAGGCGGGCGGCGAGGGAGATGGCGGGGGTAGCCCGCGGTAGTTTTTCCTTTTTTTGTAAAATATATTTAAATTTGAACAAACTCGAACATGTTTACGTTGTGTTTGCGCCGAATTTAAACATTTTAAAAACCCGTGGGGGGCCGCGACTGGGGGGCATCACGGCCCGAGTGCGCGGTTTAGCGCCGGTGCGCCCCCAGGGAGCGATTTTTTGCCCCTCCTGGGGGGCCAACGGCTGGAGATGCCCTAATTGGATAGCTAGGAGGGCAGCGGTATCCCCAGGCCATCAAGGTTCAAGTCCTGGTGTTGTGCTAGCATTTATCCTAGATTTATTTCAGGATTTTCGGCGATGCGTGTTCAATGCGAGAAAAACGTTCACGCTGACTACGAGGCGTCTACGGTGACTTCGTAAAATCTCAAAATGACATGACAGCTCGGTCTTTTTGAGATGCTCATAGAGATATGATGTGCGCGTGTGCGTTCATAGGGGTGAGAGTATACGTGTTTATATAAGCGCATGGTTTGTACTATGTTAAAGGAAACAGGCACAAAACTTTATGCATTGTATTGTGTTTTCTTTCCACGAGGAACTTGGATCCTTAGGCACTGTATAACGGCGGGTGCTTGCACGGGTGCCTGAGAGGTCTTTCCCTGAGGCAAAAGCAAAGGTTTGCTTCCGGTACCAGCCGGTGTTTGCACAATGTAAGTGCTCCCTTGAAGTCATGCGGAAGGGCGGTAGAAACAACCGAAGCACCTCAAAGCTATAAGACGACATCTATTCGCGACGCAATGTTGCTCTTTTCCATTAAGCACATGTGCGTATGCACCCACCATCGTTTCAAGGCTGATATGGTCATCGGTATGTAAGTATGATGTGTAACATGTGTCGAAACCACTTTCCAAAACTAAAACTTTTATTCTGACCGCCGAACAGAAAAGATGTATCGAAACGACATTGGGTGTGCGAAAACCACACGACCTGAGAGCGGCGAGCTTTCGAGAACCACTATAGCCGCAAGAGGGCTCTCGGAATCAGTTGCGAGCAAAAGCTAGATCAGATGCTTGTGACTATCACTCAATCAACTTTACCAAATGTTCACTCTCGTTTCAGTGCATGTAAGGAGGAGAAAGGGGAACAATGTATGCAGTGCCAAGCATAAGGAGTCGGCGGCCTCGGCCATTCTTTTTGATCGGGCGGAGGAGATAAAAGGGAACAGCACTGGCTTCCTTTCAACTCCACGACGAGCGCCCTTTGTGTGGGTGGTGGTCACGCAGCCCCCATGCCACCATGGCTTGCAAATGTTGAGTTGCCGGATTCTTTTGCTAGTGAGTGCTGTTGCAGCACGCAAAAGGTTGCTCCACGGACGGTCAAATCGAAACACTCCGGTGAGGTTACCGGCTGAGCACCGGCGGCTAACGGCGTCTGGGTCCGTCAAGTGTGACGATAATAACCCAACTAACGCAAGTGCCTCCAAACAAACAGCTCATGCCCAGACGAGACCAGTTCTGGACAACTAGACCGGTTCCGTGTCAATGGCCCATGGCACATGCAAGGCTTAGTCCTTGAGACTCTAATATTGTGAGAGATGTTTACTCGCTGTTTTTCTGAATAATAATAGAAGCTTGAAAGACTGGTTAACGGAGAAATCGTAAATAAATCCCAATAATTTACATAAGCGTGTGGAAGTGGCCGCCTTCATAGACAAACAAAGATCCAATAACAATGTGCTTATGCTATGTTGAGAGAAGCATATAAATTTTAGGGTTGAGAAGCACTACAATTGTCCACCAAATAAGATTCTTCCAGCTACTAGAGGCATACAAAATGACAGATACATATGGAGAAGCAAACACCGAACATCCCCCACACAAAAAAAGCAATCAACAAAAATCTCTCCAGCCAGAACAGAGACAAAAGACAGATAACAAATAGTATCATACTCAAGATCCAAACGGGCTAATAATATCCCTGCATGTGCATGGTATGCAGAATCAGAAATACAGCACAGGCTAGCAAACACACATGACATAGGGCACAAATGGCATCTTCAAAGTCATAATTCATCGCAGGCAAGACCCGAAATTCGAAAGTGCATCTCATAATTAACCGAATCCAACACAACATAACAAAGGCATAGCAGCTATGCAGGCAAAAAGTAGACAACCTTGATGTCCTGAGATAACATCCTATCACACCGGTCTGAAATACAACTTTCACAAAATTTCCGCTCAGTAGAAAAAGCCTAGCACTTTGCCACCAACGTTCTTCCTCCTGGCTTCCTCGTGATCCATGATGCCAGCAGAGGTTGTCAGGACGATGTAGCCAAACTGCAGTTCAAACAGGTAAACTTGGTTATAATGATGGTAAAAACTTGGAAGAGTCGTTACAGATTGTGAGCACAAAATATGGCAATGCTACACAGTTTGCAGTGAAATGAACAAGCAAAGAAGCTGACCTGACGAGATGGAAGCAGCCTGGCGGTCCACCCCTCAATCTCCTTGACACCAACATCAAAGCGGGGACTGATGACTCCACACTTGTTCAGTCTCCCGTTCAACTCCACAACAATCTTGCCAGATCTGTGGTCATCAACATACTCAAACTCACCAATGTAACCTGCAGAAAAAAGAGGCAGTGAGTAATCCATGCTATGGGATAGTTGCATATAGAACATGGCAGAAATGGAACTAACCGTGCTTCTGCATGACGATGAGGAACTTGATGATCACCTTTGAGGAGGGCCTAATCATGACCTGCCTCTTGCCACGCTTCTCAGCGTTGTACATGCTCTTGAGAGCATCGTTCAGGACGCTAACCCTCACCATCCTTACCTAACCTACAGAGACAGGCACAAAGATTTGTAAGACCACACTAAAATGCACACGTTTCAGCTAAGTTTAAAACAATATGATCAGATGCAAAGAGTAATGAGTGGCAAGATTGGTTTCTGAATTGCAGCTAAACTGACACTGGGAGACAGCATGTCAAATTGTGACAGTACAAAAGTAAGCGCAGCACATAAAATAAATCAAGGTGGAACTCCATAATTCATCTAAAACATCATGGTTTAGAAGACTGGTAAGTAAATGAAAAATTGGCGAAGGTAAACATCAAAGATTAGTTTGGCACCACTACTTCAGAACACACCTACTTGGACTTGCTTAACACAGAAACAAGTCACAAACTTAAACAGTAGGACAGACTGTCATGTAAATGGTTTCCTAAAGTGCTCATGAAACAGATATAATTGGCAGTAAACCCTAGCAAAGCATAGCACAACAGCTAAATATGCCACAAAGGGGCCTCCCAAAATCCATGGTGGCCCAAACCGACTACTTGAGATTAAACATTTTGTTTCCCTCTATGGCAGGTTTCGGAACAACTCGGCAGCAATTGTGGAGACAGATGTCACAGATCAGTACCCCCTGTCATTGATCCGCAATAGAACATATTTCACTCTTCAATCTCTATGATGGCAAAAACACGCCCAATAATTTGACTGGTGCCATTCACGGGATGAAACAACGGGATCTACTCTACACAGTCGCAGCGGACCCGTGATCCTAGGATCTAGAACATCTTAATTCATCATCACACCCGAAGCTGCACTTGCTTTGCACCGGATAGACAAAACAAGCAAGAACATGCGCATAAACAACTAACAAAACCAAGGATCTGATCAGTAAGAGTGGGCACGACGGCACAGAGGGAGCAAACACCTTCAACGCCTGCCCTGGCCCGAAGGATCTCTACGCGCGAGGGGGGCGAGGAGGGGACGGAGAGGGGGAGACGTACCTCGTAGGGGGGAGAAGCCGGGAGCTCTCTGCTTTGGTGGGGTGGCGGCGGGGAGGCGAGGGCGAGGGAGGAAGGCGACGGCGGGGAGAGAAACAGCCCGAGGTAGGGTTTTGAGGTGTTAAAAAAGGGGAGCGGATGGGTGCGCGCCCGTTGGATCTGGGTTGGACGGTGGTCGATCGCCTCGAGGGGTGGGTGCCCTAGATGGACGCGGGCATTTGCGGTTTGGCCCTTTGCTGCTTGGATATTTGAGCGACGGTTCTTGGTGTGGAGAGATGACATGTGGGACATGTTGAGTGGCCGTAAGGAATGACAATTCACTTGGGTTGGGTTTTTTTAACACAGTACAACACAAATGCCCACGTACACGCACATACACTCATTCATATCCCATGTGAACATATACACATACACCCTACTCCTATGATCTCTGAGTCTTCCTAGTCAACGTGAACGTCTCCTCCCACTAGATGAACATCATCGAAAAGTCTGGGAATAAATCAGAAAAATGTGAGCACTGGTACCAAGTTTGGGACCAATCCTGATGGGCTGGTTCTACCACGAGAAACCTAACCATCCGAGTTGCGCTCAGTTCCCAATTCACTTAGAGTGGTTGATAAGTCGATCTTATCTTAGCCTCACCACATGTAATCTATAGAAGACAAAAAAAATATGTAAAACGAATTGTCTTTTGGTTTTATGTCTAATAACTATATATCCCTGAATATATGTTGCGATATGTTGTTGCTAATCCTTCCTTAATTAAGAGATGAAACTCCTAGCATAGCACTATTATACACGCCTTTACACCGTCATGCACTGTAAAGTAGAATGATTTCACCACCAAGGGACTCTTTGATTCATAACATTTCATCAAAATGGGAATATGAAGAATGTAAGGACATGGTAGGATTGGATGTGTAAAACAAAGATATATAAAAAGACATAAATTCGCAGAACTGGGTGTTTGATTCAAAGAAATAGGAAAAAAACATGGTTCCTAAAAGGCTTAGTCAAATTATACAAAGATAAGATTAAGTTTTCTGCCAAAAAAATAACAATTTTTTTAACACCATCTTACATTAATTAACCAGAGCGAAACTTACAATCATTCGATACAAAATTCACCACACAGGGCGGTACATCATTAACAAGAATACAATCGAATCTATTGTCAAAACTAAGTTTTGCTATTAGATGAGCCACCACATTGGCAGATCGACTAATCTTAGCCATTTGAAAGTTGTTTATCAGCTTAGATAAGCTCAGTGCTTCCTTCTTCAAATCGACCCAACGATGACCTATCAAGGTTCTCTGTTGCAAGAGTCGTCACAACGAACGCACAATCAGTCTCTAAAATAATAGGATTGTGGAGAGGTATACCTATGTATAGACCAGCAATGCATGCCCTTAGCTCTGCTTCCTCCACACTTTGACACGATCCAATGACTTCCCCAGCCGCATTCCTAACCACCACACCGACACTTGCTTTCTTTGATGCTCTCTACAAAGCTTGCGTCAACATTAATCTTTAAAAACCAGTTGGTGGGGGAGTCCAATCCGCCTTAGCTCCCACATTATCAGGTGGCTGAAGGAAATATGCCCTAGAGGCAATAATAAAGTTATTATTTATTTCCTTATATCATGATAAAAGTTTATTATTAATGCTAGAATTGTATTAACCGGAAACATAATACATATGTGAATACATAGACAAACAGAGTGTCACTAGTATGCCTCTACTTGACTAGCTCGTTAATCAAAGATGGTTATGTTTCCTAACCATGGACAAAAGAGTTGTCATTTGATTAACGGGATCACATCATTAGTTGAATGATCTGATTGACATGACCCATTCCATTAGCTTAGCACCCGATCGTTTAGTATGTTGCTATTGCTTTCTTCATGACTTATACATGTTCCTATGCCTATGAGATTATGTAACTCCCGTGTGTCAGAGGAACACTTTGTGTGCAACCAAACGTCACAACGTAACTGGATGATTATAAAGGTGCTCTACAAGTGTCTCCAAAGGTACATGTTGGGTTGACGTATTTCGAGATTAGGATTTGTCACTCCGATCGTCGGAGAGGTATCTCTGGGCCCTCTCGGTAATGCACATCACTTAAGCCTTGCAAGCATTGCAACTAATGAGTTAGTTGCGGGATGATGTATTACGGAACGAGTAAAGAGACTTGCCGGTAACGAGATTGAACTAGGTATTGGATACCGACGATCGAATCTCGGGCAAGTAACATACCGATGACAAAGGGAACAACGTATGTTGTTATGCGGTCTGACCGATAAAAGATCTTCGTAGAATATGTAGGAACCAATATGGGCATCTATTGGTTATTGACCGGAGACGTGTCTCGGTCATGTCTACATTGTTCTCGAACCCGTAGGGTCCGCACGCTTAAGGTTTCAATGACAGTTATGTTATGAGTTTATACGTTTTGATGTACCGAAGGTTGTTCGGAGTCCCTGATGAGATCACGGACATGACGAGGAGTCTCAAAATGGTCGAGACATAAAGATTGATATATTGGAAGCCTATGTTTGGATATCGAAAGTGTTCCGGGTGAAATCGGAATTTTACCGGAGTACCGAGAGGTTAGCGGACCCCCCCGAGAGCTATATGGGCCTTAGTGGGCCTTAGTGGAAGAAGAGGAGAGGCGGCCAGGGCTGGCCCGCGCGCCCCTCCCCCCTAGTCCGAATAGGACAAGGAGAGAGGGGGCCGGTGCCCCCCTCCTTCTCTCTCCCTCTTTTCCCACCTCACGAATCCTATTCCAACTAGGATTGGGGGAGAAGTCCTACTCCCGGAGGGAGTAGGACTCCTCCTGGCGCGCCCTATGATGGCCGGCCGACCTCCCCCTCTTGAACCTTTATATACGGAGGCAGGGGCACCCCAGAGACACACAAGTTGATCCATGTGATCATATTCTTAGTCGTGTGCGGTGCCCCCTTTCACCATAGTCCTCGATAATATTGTAGCGGTGCTTAGGCGAAGCCCTGCGACGGTAGTACATCAAGATCGTCACCACACCGTCGTGCTGACGGAACTCTTCCCTGACACTTTGCTGGATCAGAGTCCGGGGATCGTCATCGAGCTGAACGTGTGCTAGAACTCAGAGGTGCTGTAGTTTCGGTGCTTGATCGGTCGGGCCGTGGAGACGTACGACTACATCAACCAAACGCTTCCATTGTCGATCTACAAGGGTACGTAGATCACACTCTCCCCTCTCGTTGCTATGCATCACCACAATCTTGCGTGTGCGTAGGAAAGTTTTTGAAATTACTATGTTGCCCAAGAGTGGCATCCGAGCCTAGGTTTTATGTGTTGATGTTATATGCACGAGTAGAACACAAGTGAGTTGTGGGCGATATAAGTCATACTGCTTACCAGCCTGTCATACTTTGGTTCGGCGGTATTGTTGGACGAAGCGGCCCGGACCGACATTACGCGTACGCTTACGCGAGACCGGTTCTCCCGACGTGCTTTGCACATAGGTGGCTTGCGGGTGACAGTTTCTCCAACTTTAGTTGAACCAAGTGTGGCTACGCCCGGTCCTTGCGAAGGTTAAAACAACACCAACTTGACAAACTATCGTTGTGGTTTTGATGCGTAGGTAAGATTGTTTCTTGCTTAAGCCCGTAGCAGCCACGTAAAACTTGCAACAACAAAGTAGATGACGTCTAACTTGTTTTTGCAGGGCATGTTGTGATGTGATATGGTCAAGACATGATGCTAAATTTTATTGTATGAGATGATCATGTTTTGTAACCGAGTTATCGGCAACTGGTAGGAGCTATATGGTTGTCGCTTTATTGTATGCAATGCAATCGCGTTGTAATGCTTTACTTTATCACTAAGCGATAGCGATAGTCGTGGAAGCATAAGATTGGCGAGACGGCAACGATGCTACGATGGAGATCAAGGTGTCGCGCCGGTGACGATGGTGATCATGACGGTGCTTCGGATATGGAGATCACAGGCACAAGATGATGATGGCCATATCATATCACTTATATT